GATTTGCTCTGTCTCATTGACTTCACGTCTGACCTGAATAGCTGGGAGCCTGGGAAGCATGGTCGCCATTTTTGCGATTATGAGGTTGTGTGTGCCAATGTGGAATGAGGATATCAATCTTCAATATGGAGTTGATTTGGGAGTCTGGAAGATGTTGTCAGCTTTGTAGCTTTGCTGGAAGCTTTGCTGGAGATGAAGGTTCAAACTTTACAAACCTTTGGCTTAGGTACAGGTTGAAAACCCTCTCCTTTCAATAGAAAAGAAGCTACTTGGCTGGAAAATAGGGTGGTATGTAAATTCAGGGTTTGATCTACCAAATAGTAGAATAATCGAATGGTAAGATGCAGTCAAGTCGAGAAACGACAGCTTCAGAGAAATTGATACTTTCGTTACCTGGCAACTAATGACGAGATAGAAGACAAATCAGTATTACAAACGGAGGCACTGATTCTGGTTGAATGGAAAAGGAAGTGAGAAGTTGGAGATTGTTGGAGGTTGAAAGTTTGAGCAATGGAAAAGGGAAGAGAAGAGGTTGTGATTGATTTTGTGGAGGTGGAGGTGGAGGTGGAGGTGAGGGTAGAAGTGAATGATCAACGCTAGCTTTAAAAAAAAAGTGAACGCGAGAGACAGAGAGAAAGAGAGAAAGAAAGTAGACGGAAAGAACGTTTCATCTTCTGTATAATGTTTTCATTGCGATTGTCGTTTGTCTCGTCTTCAACCCAATTTCAAGAACTGCAGCCCCTAGCACCTGCAAACAAAAGACGTAGGTGCAAAAGAGCAAGCATTGAGAAGAGAAAAAGATCTTTTCGAATACACAAATGGCTGATGATTTCAAAAGAAGGGGAGTTTGAAATCCGCGAGGTTCACATGCATACCTGATGCATAGAAGTATTGTAGCCAGACTTTGACATTGTATTGAACTGTGAACTGTGAAATGTGATAGAACTTGGTATTTCCTTTCCCTCTGTTCTGTTCTGCGCTGTTCTGCTCTGTCGATGGATTGAGGCTCTACAAGTCAAGACTCAATTCACTAGGAAATGACCATTCACCATCAATTCAAACCATATTCAAATACCTTTTTTGCTTCGATGCATCGTTCTCTTTCTTCCGTTCGCTGCACGTATATAATATAGAGACGATCCAAAAAGAGTTCTACACGTAAAAGAATCGTGAATTATTACGAAAAGAGATAGTACCCATTGAATGGTGGGGTAGAAAGAATGCGTGAGCCCGTGATGAGGATAAGTGAAGGCATTGTCAAACCTTACATTTAAGGCAACATATCAGCAGCCTCGCTTAAGATAGCGCACAAATTTGGAAGGAACTTTTGAGAAAGTCTTCAATTTTGATTTTAGAACTTTTCTTTTCGACAACTTCGACGACAACAACCACCCCAATACTCGTTTCTCCATACACACAGAGACGCAACCATGGGTAGAGGACCGTAAGCATAGCCTTTTCTTTTATTATTATTTGATCGAATTACGAAAAGACCTTCTCGACTTTCTCAATCGATTTGAATGTTCAGTCGATTGGTATTGGCAATGGCACTGGGAGATATGGGGATTTCTTTGGACGTTGGGACTCGTCGATCATTCGAAAGCTGCAATTGCCAACGATGAACTATTCTACGATCGCTCTGTTCAATCACCTCATATCCACTTTTCGCAACAATCTACAGTTCAGCACATCTCAAGACATCATTTACTAATATTTTTGTCGCATATAGAAAGAAGCACCAAAAGCGCTTGAGCGCGCCAAACCACTGGCTCTTGGACAAATTGTCCGGTGCCTATGCTCCTCGTCCTTCCGCCGGTCCACACAAGCTTAGAGACTGCATGCCACTTATCGTCTTCATCCGTAACCGTCTCAAGTATGCTCTCAACTCCCGTGAGACCAAGGCAATCGTTATGCAACGTTTGATCAAGGTCGATGGCAAGGTTCGCACCGATGCCACCTACCCAGCCGGTTTCATGGATGTTATCGGTATTGAGAAGACCAGCGAGAACTTCCGTTTGGTTTACGACACCAAGGGACGTTTCACCGTTCACCGTATCCAAGCCGAGGAGGCCGAATACAAGCTCGGAAAAGTCAAGAGAGTGCAATTGGGCAAGGGCGGAATTCCATTCTTGGTCACGCACGATGCTAGAACGTAAGTTCTGTCAGACATCATTCAGCCGTTGGTCCAAGCTTTGGTCGATCCCCTCCGACACAAATTCTGCTAGATCAACGGTTTGAATGTTTTATTCCCCCCAGAGATGCTAATGAAATTTCTAGTATCCGTTACCCAGATCCATCCATCAAGGTTAACGACACCGTCAAGATTGACCTTGCTACCGGAAAGATCACCGACTTCATCAAGTTCGACACTGGTGTTATCGCCATGGCTACTGGTGGTCGCAACATGGGACGTGTTGGTGTCATCACTCACCGTGAACGTCACGATGGAGGTTTCAACATTGTTCACATCAAGGATGCCATAGACAACTCCTTCGCTACCCGTGAGAGCAACGTTTTCGTCATCGGATCTGAGAAGCCATGGATCTCCCTTCCAAAGGGTAAGGGTGTTAAGCTCACCATTGCTGAGGAGAGAGACCGCAGACGTGCTCACGCCATCGCTGGTCAATAAATGTAGTACGTTTTGCTTTGTATTTGGGCCAGGGGGAGTCATGGAATGGGATATTAAAAATCTCCTTTTGTATTACGCAAAAGTTTATGAGAAATATGACGACACATTTTAGTATGAGTCGAATTTTTACCACAATGATATAACCCTCCAAATCCAACTTCAAACGGATGGTTTTTGAACTTTGATTGTGATGTGATATGGGGAATGTAATAATGTATCAAGGCCATGATGATTCTAAATTCCAACCAATATTGAAAACTCGATCCTGTTCATGCAAGAATGATTGTATTGATACCTTTATCTAATATCTTTGCACATCGATAGATTATTAGAGGCCATCGTACCTACTGAAACCTCCATCCTTTTGAATATTGCACCAATCACATTTCCCGCACAAGTATGTGGTAAAGTATTATTTAACATTTCTTCTTTTCCCTTCAACCCAATCACATTGGTGTAATTCGAATTTTGTATTCCATCATCTATGTTTCTATATTTGTCACATGCAACGATATCGATATTCGATATTCGGAAGGACCGAGAATCGGGTTGAGGGGTTTAGTTTACCGATTTCGAGTTTCTAAGGAAGGGAGTGAGGGAGGAGGGAGTGAGTATAGAGCTGAAGTGAAGTGAAGTGATTTCTGTTTTCTGTGTTTTTTGTTAGATAAAAGGGAGTTTTGGGTGTATTGGTATAGTATAGTTAATATAGTATATCGAAATACTTTGCAGTCTACGATAGAGTCTAGAGTCGAAAGTCTAAAATCTATATGGAGAAATCAATTGAGAAAGGGAGAGAAGCTAGGTATGTAGGTATGTATGTAGGTATGTATGTAGGTATGTATGTAGGTATGTATGTAGGTATGTAGGTAGGTATATTGCTATCATATCGTATCGTATCGTATTATATCATGTCGATATCCTAGAATCTCGAGGTTAGAATCTTGAGGTTAGAATCTTGAGGTTAGAATCTTGAGGTTAGAATATAGAATGTAGTGTAGAATTACAAGATACAAATGTAAATATCTTGCATGACATTACATTATATTACATTACATGACATTACATTACTTGTTGTTATATGCTAGGTAGGTAGGTACCTACATATGTATAATGTATAGATACCGACCGATATATGTAATGTTGTACATGCATATATACATGCACATATATATACATACATACATGCGTGGGTATATTAGTATGTAAGTACATAAGTATAGCAGCACACAACCTAGACAAGACAAGCAGACAGACAGGCATCTGAGCTGTCAAAACAGTATTTAACTTTCAAGGTCATTCATTCAGAAGGTAAACGTGGGGTAACACGACAGGTGGATAGATGGAATTCCGGAATGGAATGGAGATGAGAGAAAGTTTAGAGATGCTAGGCCCTAGGGAGATATCTAGGTAGGTAGAGGTACTAGGTATTGGGTGCGAAGTCTGGGATGGATTGGAGATGATGAGTACTCTATTAGTTGGATTATTGTTGGTGAGGTTTTAGTGTGGGGGTGGGATGTGGGATGTGGGATGTGGGATGGGATTGGTTATTGGTTATTGGTTGGATATGGATTATGTTTATATTTATTTGTTTCTTATATTATTGATTGATATTTATATTGGTATTGGCTTTGGGAAAGTTTCGTATGGGGATTGGATTTGTGTGAGGATTGCTTGCTGAGAGGGGTGACGGTGGTGAGAGTGGCTCGGTGGTCAGCTGGTGGTGAGAATTTTTGTGTCATGATTGATGGGTGATGGGAGATGGGAGGGGTAGGGGTGAGGTGAGGTGAGGTGAGATGCCATGCCATGCCGTGCCATGCCATGCCGTGCCGTGATGTGCTGGAAAGTAAGTGGTGGTTCACCGGTTCTATCGTATTCAGTGGGTAATGTTTCTTGTGTAATATGTTGGAGTGGAAGTAGAGACGGACACAGAGACGGAAAGTAGAGGGTAGAGAATGATTGCATATCTGTGTATAGAACACAGGCACGTATGTATATCTATGGAGGTATTCGGATGTATGGGAACGAGTCGATGATATGAGGTTGAGTGGAGAATGATGGTGATGGTGATGGTGATGGTGATTGTGTTTGATCTGCATATCCTTCCTGTGTGTGCCGTATAAAACTACCTAGGCAAGTAATCCGAGTCGAGGAATGAAAAGCCCGATGTAGAATAGGAATTTCATTCAGAATTGGGACGATCAATGTGAATTGAGGAATATCATATCTAATATCTAGTATCTATTAGATGAGAATAAGTCGAATGAAGTATAAGTGGTATTATTTTTTAGAATATAGATAAGAAGAGAGACAGATAGTTAAATAGAGAACTCTATAAACAATCTAGACCTCCATATCACATCATACCACAACGAGAATTTGTCTACTAATAACTCATGATCCACAAACAAACACGAGCAAGTACTTCGTTGATGACGACTTTTAGTACTTGCAAACTCTACTTTGCCTCCTCATCTAGGTCAATTGCAGATTAGAAAAGAAAATGAACACGGTCCACTTCTGTACGAAGAAGGAGAAGAACTAAGTAAAGTGTCTAGGTGAGTACCAAGGTAGGTAGGTAGACAGGTAGGTATGAAAGAGATCCGGATTCTCTGATTTATATTTATATATAAAGTTCTCAAGTCAGACGTCAGATCGATAGTTAGTAATGATTTTGGAATTCTTTCTCTTACCTTGATCATTTGATAACTATAATCTTCTTCATCTCATTATCTTTTTAATCTGCTGGGTATTTACCTCCTCTTTCATCTGAAATCTTCACCATAAACCATCTCGAATATATATATATATACCTATATATATATTTATACACATACATACACTTCTAACGTACATAGATATATATTTGCAAGGGAAAAGCTGATCACGCAAATCTTCATTTTTATCCTGGTTCATCTCAAGGTCGTCTCGTTGGTGTGTATGTCACATCCATACGTCCATCCATCCATCAATTCCCATTTCGTTCTCTGAGCCGTGGCCATGTTTTCGGTGAGACATCAACCGACCATCATCACGGGGAAAGGTACACCATATTTTCGCATTTCTACTGCGAGAGTATCTGGAATATCTCAAATAAGACAATTGAGATATCAAAGTAGAAATGCGAAATTAAATACACACACCCCTTCTCAAGTATCAGCCTCGATACCGAAATCCAATTCCAAAGACAAAAAAGGATGGTCGACACAAAATGCTCTTTTGTTGGCGGCGGCCACCGCCGGCTTAGCTTACACGTTTGCCATGGTACGGGAAAAGAAGAGGAGGGGTGAGGGTAGGGATTATGCGGATCCGGAGAAGTTTACGGTACCTCGATATGCAAATATCAAGGAGATGGAGATGGTGAGTTTGGTTGTGGAATTGATATCAAGGAGGGGAAATAATGTCAAGGAGTGGAACTGAGTGATGAAAACGCAAAGGGAGAATTAAAAGCTGATCAGATGGTGAATGTATAGGCCCTGAAGGAAATTCGAGAAGCTACAAATGAGGATACTATTTCTACAGACCCGGAAGATTTGTTGGCTCACGGATAGTAAGTTATTATGTTTTCATCAGCATAGGTGGTCTTCAGGATTCGAAATATCGCTCGTCTCACACGAGAAGTGGAAATATCTTGGCTAGTCACACTGCAGACAGCTTCTCAAAGACCTTTGCCAAATTCACAAAATACTCAACTAATCTAAATCAACAGCTCAGAATGGTCATCTACCAATGTCGATGGTTTACCAGTAGCAGTGGCCTATCCAAAATCTACTCAGGAGGTCTCTAAAATTGCGTCGATATGTCACAAATATCGGGTACCAATTGTTCCTTATTCAGGGGGATCGAGTTTGGAAGGGAATGTATCATGTCCTTATGGAGGTGTTAGCGTGGATTTTGCTTTCATGGATCAAATTATTACATTTCATCCAGAGGATATGGATATTGTTGTTCAACCATCTGTTTCGGTAAGAGCCCTACATTGATTTTGATTTCCGTCTACCTCTTCCAGTCTGTGTAGATTCTAATCTTCTTCTAGTGGATGGATCTCAATGATGAACTTGCAAAACGTCAATCCGGACTCTTCTTCCCAGTGGATCCAGGTCCAAGTGCAAAAATAGGAGGTATGGTAGGAACAAACTGTTCCGGTACCAACTGCGTTCGTTACGGTTCCATGAAAGATTGGGTCATAAATCTAACCGTCGTGCTCTCCGATGGAACAATCATCAAAACCAAACGACGACCTCGTAAATCTTCCGCAGGTTACAATCTCAACAGTCTCTTTGTAGGCTCCGAAGGAACCCTCGGTCTTGTAACTGAAATCACACTCAAACTCGCTGTCGTGCCACAAGAATACTCCGTTGCTGTAGTCACTTTCCCTACGATCCGTGATGCGGCAGCGGCAGCAGCTGGTGTCATGCGCGCGGGTATTCAAGTCGCAGCTATGGAAATCATGGACGAAGTCCAAATGAAAGTCGTCAATCTATCCAAATCTACCGCTCCTCGTCAATGGAAAGAACTCCCTACGCTCTTCTTCAAATTTTCCGGTACCAAAGCATCAGTGAAAGAAAACATAGCAATGGTGTCCTCCATTGCCAAATCCCATCGCGGTAGCTCCTTTGAATTTGCAAAAGACGCACGAGAACAAAAGTTATTGTGGTCAGCGAGGAAGGAATCATTGTGGAGTATGCTAGCATTGAGAAAAAATGGAAGTGAAGTCTGGAGTACGGATGTGGCGGTACCTTTCTCACGATTGGCGGATATTATTGAGTTGAGCAAGAAGGAAATGGATGATTTGGGACTTTTTGCTAGTATTTTGGGTCATGTGGGAGATGGAAACTTTCATGAGAGTATCATGTATGATCGAACGGTGCCGGGAGAGATGGAGAAGGTGGAGAGGTGTGTGAAGAATATGGTGGTTAGAGCTTTGGAGATGGAGGGCACAGTAACGGTATACTTGACTTTTGGTTTTTTGGTGAAACTTGGATCGACAACTAACGGAAATATAGGGCGAACATGGAATCGGAATCGGAAAGAAAGAATCTCTACTCTTGGAACTAGGACATGATACTTTGGGAGTCATGAAATCTATCAAATCGGCATTGGGTGAGTAATCTTTTACTTCTTCTCCTCTCCTCTCTCCACGCCTTCTTCAAATCTATCAGATTGCATATCATATACCCACAAACCCAACTAACCCAACTCCCCAGATCCACATTGGATCATGAATCCAGGTAAAATCATAGATATCCCCAAGTAAACCCACCTCGCTTCGCTTCGCTTCGTTCCGTTTTCGCTTCCTAGGTACCTACATACCTTCCTTCTATGATTTGGTATGGTATGGTATGGTTTGGTATATATTCGCATCGCATTACATCACATAGTATGGTATGGCATATCATCAAAATCATCTTGGATTGGTACTTACATCTTGGAGGCCAAAATGTTCACGAAAAGGATTTTGTGGAGAGGAATGAAAATGAATAGGAGCGGGATAAAAATTGCATAGATATTGGTATGGATGGGTATGAGCATGAGCATGAGCATTGGGGGAAGGGAGGGGATTGTCTTTTTGTTTGTTTGTTTGTTTGTTTGTTTGTTTGTTTGTTTGTTTGTTTGTTTGTTTGTTTGTTTGTTTGTTTGTTTGTTTGTTTGTTTGTTTGTTTGTTTGTTTGTTTGTTTGTTTGTTTGTTTGTTTGTTTGTTTGTTTGTTTGTTTGTTTGTTTGTTTGTTTGTTTGTTTGTTTGTTTGTTTGTTTGTTTGTTTGTTTGTTTGTTTGTTTGTTTGTTTGTTTGTTTGTTTGTTTGTTTGTTTGTTTGTTTGTTGCATTTGTTGTATTTGTGTTTTTGTTTTTGATTGAGTTTGTGTTTGTATGAATCTTGACTTCGGTTGGAGATTAGGGATTTGGATTTGGATTTTTGTTATAGTATTGAGATATTATTATATTGAATTGAATTGAGTTGAATTGAGTTGAATTGAGTTGCCTTGCAGTTGAGTTGAGTGCGTTGAATAAACTCTATTACATCCCTTGTATTGAATTCCCTTTAAACGCCAAGGGATACCTAGTATCTCCCTTCTTGACTCGATGAAAATAATATAAAATGACTGACACTAGAATGAAATGAATTAGAAATACATACAGTCCGCTTCAGAGGAGAGACTATAAGAAAAGGGGAGAAGGAAAGGGGTAGTGTATTTATTTATTCGGTTATGTTGAATTTTCTGAATTTTCTGAATTTCTGATCTTATTGAGGAATGGAGAGAGGGGAGGGGAGAGCAGGGGGAAAGGAGCGGGAAAGGAGGGGAAAGGAGGGGAAAGGAGGGGAACGGAGGGGAAAGGAGGGGAAAGGAGGAAGGAGGGGGAAGAGGGGAAAAGGAGGGGAGGTTTATATGTAAAAGGAATGGAGGTTTTGGTTTTGGTTCTAGTTGTGATTATGATTCTGTTTGTACTTGTAGTTGAGATATCAGAGTGAATACTACAGCCCCCTCTAGCGTGGTTTTACTAGCTTTCTAGCACCTTAAATAGCCTCAACCTTTTATAGAATACAATCAAGCTTTTCGACCCCCTTCAATATATATTTAGTCTTTTTTCTAATTATAATTATGATTATGATTCTATATCTTTTATATCTTTTATATCTTTTATATCTTTTATATCTTTTATATCTTTTATATCTTTTATATCTTTTATATCTTTTATATCTTTATAAATATCTTTAGTAAATATCTACAATATCTCCAAGTACCTATTAGGTACCTAGTACATAGACAAAAAAAAAGGGATTAAACTGCTTGCTTGCTTGCTTGCTTGCTTTTGGTGTGAAACCTGTCTGGATTCTTCTTTTTTCTGCATTTTACCAGACAGCTGGAGAGGAGCAGTAGGAATGGAATGGAATAAGAAGTATACGTTTTTTATTTCTCGAGTTATATACAGTTTTTAATACAAGTACAATCTTTATATCTTCTTTGATTCTCTCTTTGTTGCTTCAAACTAAGATTCAGGAGACCTATCTCCTTTCGAAGATCGTTACGCCTATGCAATAGCAGATGTGGTTTCCATAACCCCTCTCCCCTCTGCGACATAATTTTCCGTAAAAGTACCAATACCCCCAAACTCCTCGCCTCAAATTGAAATATAATGCACAAATATCTCTCCTCAAAATTAATAATCATCTCCACCACCCCCGTCCCCTCCATCATCATCATCATCCTCACCATTCTCAAAGTACTGCTCCGCATCATAATCTCCACCCATATCCTCCTCATCATCCTCATAATCATTATCCTGCTCCTCCTCAATTTCTTCCTCTCCCAAATCCTCTTCTCCCTCTGCCCCCTCTACCCCAGTCGCTTGTTGAATCTTCGCCAACAGCGCTCGAGTCTTCTCCGAAGGATCTTCCTCTCCCATCGCCGCCAACGCAGCATTATCCTTCGCAGTCTTTGCTTCCTCCTCTCCACTCAACACGGACCATAACTCCTGCGGATAAAATTCCTTGTTAAAATTCATCCCGCTCACTAGAGGTATCGCTCGCTTTTTTCGCTGATACTTCATGCTGTATGTTTCGACGCCGAGGAAGGGATCGAAATCCGCTTTAGTTTGTCGTCCGTATTGTTCGTTGAATTGCTTTTCTCCAAAGGTTCGGACGGGCGCATCGGTGTCGCGTTTGGTAGAGTGCGTGTAGAGGGGTCCGCGGTGGATCTTGTCGCGGAGCGTGCGGTAGTATTTTACTTGCGTGCGTTCTTGGGGGGTGAGAGGGGATGGTCGTTTGAGGTTGGGATGCCGCTGAAATGTATGTTAGTAGATGTTTTTTGTATGAGCGCATCAAAATTCAAGGATAGAAATTGGATATAGAATGAGGCTCCAAAGACTTGGAGAAGGTGTGATGGAACGTACTGGATAATCTTCACTTGGGGTGAAGTCTAATTTCAAGGTAGCGTCATGCTCCCATGTTGCGCCTTTTATACCGCCTCCTCTGGCACCTCCTCTACCTCCACGAAAGGCCATCCTATACTAGATTCTGAAATCCTTGTGACGATTGACGGTTGCCGAGCTTCGATGATTCGCAACAAGGCAGGATGTGTTTTGAGTAGCACCTGGTTTTGTGGAAATATATTGTGGTTCAATTGGCTTGGGATGTTTGCGATAAGTGATATTCAGGATATATGCGAACTCAATCAGAACTCAAAGATTGGTAGTTGCTTGAATAACTTTGCGCGTCACTTTTTGTAAAAAAATCAAAATTGGGGGAATGATGGGAATTTGGTCTTAGCTAGATATTATTCCCCAAGATTTTCTGCCAAACTAAAAAGGCGGTGAAACTAACTAAAATGGCGGGGTGTGAGTGTAAGCTGCGCTGCATCTACCTAAATACAATCTTGATCGTTATACCATTGATAATCATCGATAACACTCTTTACTTTTCTACGTTAATCTTCTAATTTCGAATAATCAACAAATATTAAAATCCTGCGAAGACCTGTCTCAGATTCTTACATCACTGTGCAATATACAATCATTGAATAAGGTTAATACAACGGCTCAGAAACACATTGTCCAACATGGACATAGACGATACCCCCATATTCAAATTGGAGGAGCTTGAAGCTCATCTCCAGGATTTGGTTAAATCTCCAGATACCCCAATCGATACAAAACTTTTCGATGCCGTAGAGCTGCAACTTACAGGTATGTGCTGTCTTCTACTCTACATACTAGAAGAGCTCTAAAGCAAGCTGTCGTGTTCCACAATCTTCACGGCTTCTAATCTCCTTTTAGAATACAATATCTCCCCTCTGATCCCGAAGCTACTTCCTACCATTACTCAGATCCTCCTTACCACACAACAAGACCCTACAGTACTCGCCAGTCTATCCGTAAAGTTGTTACAGCCAATCACATTTCCCCAAGCTCTCCAGTTGGCTTCCGAAGACGCTTTGATTCTCGCACTTCGATCTCCCATACCTGCTGCAAATATTCTTGCCATAACAATCATTCAAAAGGCCACCAAAAGTTCCGCAGACGTAGCGAATCTATCTGGTATGAGAGGAGTGGTCGAGAATTATATCCGAATATGGCTTAGCAGCCCTCATGTCGGAGTTGGAGAGAAAGCTACGCGAGTGCTAGGAGAACTCTTAGATGTCGACTCTGTTCGAGAATTGACACACATCACAAATGGAGTAGGAAACATGGATATCGACTCTCAGCGACCACCTGGACAAGGAGCGCTTTGGCGAAGAATATTTCAAGACGTCGAAATCTACGAAATACTTTTCTCGCTCTGTAGCTTGAAGACTATCGGCAAAGGTGATGGCCAATTGGATGAGAAACAAAAGACACTTGCTCAAGCTCGTTTATTGAGAATTCTTCCTCGTTTGGTAACCGTGGGCTTTGATTACCTCACCCGTCCAACGTTGAGCCAAGTCGACAAGGAGTATATATCGCCACAGGATGATGGGAAACTCGGGCTACTCTACTTCGCGGCAATGGAAATGGTGGATAAAGAAGACCTGCTTATGCACATGACGCTGACTATTTTCTTTTTGGAATTACTGGAGGCACTGAGTACTGTGGAATGGTTCTTCGGCCCGAGACAGACTTATGTCGCTGAAATGATGAGGAAAGCTATGGAGTCAGACGTGGAGTTACGTCAATCGATTGAGGGTGTGACTCTATCGCCAGAATCAACCTCTCAGACGAAAGAATTGATAAATTCTTTAAAGCTACTATCTTAGATGCGGCGTTAGTTATTCAAGCCATACCCTTTGATTTCAACAGCATATAGAGTTTGCAGCTCGGATCGTCGTCTTGAAAACCTTGATAGCATATCTCCCGCTTCTCCCGTGTGTAACCTGTAGTTAAGGGGGCATCGCTAGAGAATCATTGACTAATGACATGATATAAAAAGGGTCATATTGGTAATGGAATAGTTTAAGAAATGACCAAAGAAATTGGTAACAGCACAATTACAGGTTGCATAGGTTTGGCTTCTTGGTGCTGCATCTAATCATAACGTTGGCGTGCGGTTAATACCGTTGATATCAATATTCCAAGCATTAGCTGAAAGTTGTAGAAGAGAAAATGAACATGTTGCATTGCCTTCAATATTACTACCTTTCTACATACTATGTTCGTACATGATCATGTCAATATATTCAGTATATGACTGTTGTTGCATCTGAATTTAGCCTTAATGTATTAGTCAATGAGACAGCAGCACAACTTCCACACATGATTATATATTCGATTTGTTATCATTTTTCAAGACTTGTTAGCATTGTTAAGTTACCCTACGAGCCTACAAAGTTGTCCAATATAAGAAAGATACTGCACTACAACTCTACTATTTGTGTCCAAGTTTAGAAGTATATACACTCTTTCTTGGCCCAAATCAATCAATACGAAGCAATTTTGAAGACTCTTAAGAATTGCACCGGTTCTTCCATTAAAGTTTTTTATCCAATGGGTCTGAGTTCAAGATGATCAACAGGCATCATTCACGTAATCTGGGATGGCTCGGACGGTAAGAGGGAAAAAAAGAGAAGTGGGTGTGGTGACCATGTGGGTTTGGTGAACTCCCAAGAATATCAATGCTTTGATATGTTGATAGAGTTTGAGTTTGATAGGGATGATAGATGTTGAATGGACGATCCTGTTGATCAATTTTAAGCTTGATTCGACAGCGTGAAATGTTGGGGGATCAACACAGTTAACGTTAAGATACTGTATCTATCTGGGTATGTATAGTGCTTTCGCATTTTTGGGCGATAGCCTCTTATTTATCTCTTCTCCAGGATATTATTTTTAAATTTTCAAACCTCGGCATGATCGAATATTGTACAGGTATGATGTATCATTATAAGTGCTTACCTGTCAAGGGGGCCCTCAGCGGCGCAGTATAGTCATTGGACTTTGTCTAGCCGTGTAGAAATTTTACTCTCTCAAGAATCCTTCACCCCATCTTTCTTTTTAGGCAACGGTTGCTCCTAGTTCAGGTTGGCTGTTACATCAATTGATGCTAATGGTAACTAATCTCTTCATTCGGTTATTTGCTGACACCTTTTAGTTTCTTAAGATTACCCAACCATGAGCCAACATTGGATTTTGATTGTGTTAGTGGATCCCTTTTAGAAAAGACAAGCTTTTACATGATTAGTGGACCTATCGTAAGGATGAATAGACACGGCCCACGAGTCGGTGATAGCGGTCGGATCGCTTAGTTTTAGATCCTGTTCCTGACTAGTCATCTATCAAGACTCAAGAGGCGGGATTTCGGGATCTAAAGAAAGGTTTTTTTTTGGATGAAATCGAATGAGCGTCTAGATAAAGTACACATCCATTATGTACCCCTTGAGCTAATAAGATCTTGAAGCAAAAGTGGAATCATTTTGACTTTTTGAAGTGAAGAGGGAAGGACGGGACTCTAGACTCCAGTGTTAGTAGTATATGTGACACATTCGAACAGGACCCGATGATTCGGACCAAATTTATGGGAGAACGTTATACCGATCTTACTTTTTGTCAATATTGGGGAAATTATCACAGTGTTCAATCCCCACTCCCACAACCAATTGTTTATCCTTATGAAGTAACCATTGCGCGCAAAGTGGATTGAGGGACCGGCCGAATTGATGCTTTAAGCACAATTGCCCCTCGGGTAAATCAGCCGAAGAGGCTACTCCGTTCCTGCAGCATCACCCTAGGACGGGCTTATTCCTCCAAATGAACTCAATTCGTCCTTCTCATTGGCTGTTCGAACCTCAAAGTCTCCGCGCTACCTTGATTTATCTACCTTTCGGGAAATTACCTGCCAAGAGTGCCTTGGACGGTCTTCCCTTTCGTTCTTTGCATATTTAGCGAGTTGTATCATGGCTGTCATTGGGTACCTCACATGCAATTCGACAATATCTGAGCATCATTTAGCCAGAAGTCGTTGTGTAACCCCTGGTTCCTGATGAACCGTTCGATTTCGGTCTCGACAATGACGGGATTAAGAGAAATGTTACATATCCCTGTTCTATACAGTTCCTTTTTCCTTTTCTTCCTCTCTTCTCCCTCTCATTCTTGAATTCTAGACATTAAGTTTCTCATCCACCGGTGACCTTCGTACCGTGCAAACATTTGTTTGCGTCCTGTCTTTGACAACCAAACCAGCCCAATCACATTCTTTACCTGGCTTCGGCCTCTTGAAACTTTCATTTTTTCGTATATACTTAATATCCTTTTAATAATGTCTTCATCGAAGTTTTTCACCGTGGCTGCGGCTACTTTTGCATTCATTGCTCCTGCTGCCGCTCTCTATGATGCATCATCACCTGCAAATTTGGCTTTGTATTGGGTATGACTTACAACCAGATTCAAAGTACTATTACTGATTATGACGATAGGGTTCCGGGCCATCTCAAACCAATCTTTCATATTACTGCGAGCAATCTACAGTGGACATCATTCCATTAGCTTTTATGAATGTTTTCCCAGCACAAGGTGATGGCTATCCAGCTGAGAACTTTGGTAACGCTTGTTATGGTCAACCAATCTTCACACCAGGTCCAGGTTATCCATTAGGGGATGTAGACACTTCGAAAGATCAACTTTATGTTCAATGTCCAGGCATTCAAGAGGGAATTCCCTACTGTCAATCATTGGGAAAGAAGATATTACTTTCTCTCGGAGGAGCCTCAAACACTTATCAACTCACAGGCGCAGCTGACGGAGAATACTTTGCCGATTTCTTATGGGGAAGTTATGGACCTTTCAAACAATCTTGGGTGGATGCTGGTGGAATTAGACCAATGGATGGTGGTTACTATGGAACTGACCCTAGTGTTCATATTGATATTGATGGATTCGATTTCGATATCGAGTTTGGTCCTACTGGTAAGATGGACCATCAAAGTAACTCGTATGATAGCACGACTGACATGTATCAGACTACTCCGAAGGTTACATTGCAATGATCAACAGACTCCGAGAACATTTCGCCGAGAACCCATCGAAGAAGTACTTCATTTCAGGAGCTCCACAATGTCCATTGCCAGAGCCAAATATGGGAGCCATGATTGCTGGTGCCCAATTCGATCTTTTATGGATTCAATTTTATAACAATGCCGCAGCTCAATGCACAGCTCGTCAATGGGCCGACAACTATGCTTTAACTGGACAAGAAGACTCTGTAGGATTTACCTATGATAAATGGGTATCGACCATTAACAGTGGTGCAAGTGCTGGGGCCTCGATTTATCTTGGTCTTCTTGGTTCAACCTTCGCAGGAACCGCATCTGACTACATTTCTCCACTCGAGGCTCAAAGCTTGATTGAATCTTATCACAACAAACCTCAATTTGGAGGTGTCATGATTTGGGAAGCTACATATTCTCAAGAAAACACAGATGCGGAACTTAAAGGAGATTCTTACCACGGATTTATTAAGTCTTGTTTGGATTCCTACGCACCACCTCCTCCCACTTCGACATCCTCGATTGTTCACAGTACTACTATTAGTAGTTCCAGCTCCACTTCAGAAGTCTCTATTACTTCCAGTGTTCCAACATCGACTGACTCATCTGCTGCTGCTAGTAGCACTGTGATCTCGATCTCAACTACTTCGACCTCGGTCTCGGAATCTTCTGCCACATCAACTTTGATTTCTTCGGAATCTTCTACTGCTACATCTTCGAGTTCGTCAGAGACTTCAACTACTCCATCGCTTACTTCTACATCAGTTTCCCAGACCTCGACAGCCGCATCCTCTTCATCATTGGAATCTTCCGCTGCAGAATCTTCGACTTTCTCTGAAGTTTTGCCAACTCAAGCATCATCTGGCTACACCATTCCAGGATACTCTCACAATGCAACATCTTCTTTGACCCATTCGCAAGTTCATTCCTCCAAGCCAGCTGGAAGTGGCACATTGCCAGTTCATTCTTCAAAGCCCACTGGTAGCTACACTTTCACCGGACATTCTTCCAAATCTACAAGCATCGCAACAGGCTACACCTCGAAGTCTCACTCCGCCAAGCCATCGTCTAAACCATCGTCCGGTTACTCTTCAGTATACTCCTTTAATTCTACTACCAGTGGAAGTGTTCAATCGTCTAAGCCATATGCCACCAAGCCTGTCGTTACAGGTACTGGAGCATCCACCAAGCCATATCCAACGAAGTCTTCTGTGGCTGGTACCGGTCAATCTAGCAAACCACGCCCTACCAAATCCCTTGGAACGGGTGTTAAATCTTGCAAGAGCAGATCTAAGACTAGGACTAAGACCAAGACCAAGACTAAGACATCATCTACAGGCCCATCAGGATACCCAGCAACTACTTCTTCCATTGTTATCTCATCTACTGCGCCATATGGAAATAGTACCTACAGTCACTCAGAAACTATTCCAGCTTCCACCGCCACATCTTCAGTCGAGGGAATTACTGTATCTTCAGGTACTGCCACCGAAACTGGACCTGGATTTAGTGCAACCGAATCAACCGTCGTAGGATCTTCTACAATCAGTACCAGTGAGCTCTCAACTGGATCTGCTACCAACAGCGGATCTGTAACATCAGAAACTGGTTCTGTCTCCGCTAGTAAATCTGTTTCATCCGGAACTGGTTCAACAACTTCGGCTATTCAATATACGACTTCGACTGCCTATGTTACTACAGTCTATACCATTACTTCTTGTGCCGCAACAGTTACTGATTGCCCAGGAAGAATTGGATCTGTAACCACTGAAACTATTTCCTCTTACACTACTGTCTGCCCCGTCACTGCCACTGCCACCTCGACATCTTCTGCTGAAGGAATTTCCGTATCTTCAAAACCATCTTCGGCCCCAGGAGTCACTGCATCGCAAACATCATCTTCTTCTGCACAAGGACTTACCACATCCACATCTCCAGTATCCTCATCTTCGGCCCAAGGAAGTGCTACATCACCAATCACTTCAATTGTCCAATACACCACCTCTACAGCTTACGTAACCTCCGTTTATACCATCACATCTTGCGCAGCCACCGTAACCGATTGCCCAGGAAGAATTGGTTCCGTAACCACCGAGACAATTTCCTCCTACACTACCGTTTGCCCTGTAACAGAAACCAGTGGAAATAGTGGCCTTGTTAGCTCGACATCTTCCTCCGCTGGAGTACCCGTTCCAACCACAGCAATTACTTCATATGGAACTTCAACTGTTTACCAAACATCTGTTTATACCATCACCTCATGTGCTCCAAGTGTAACGGATTGCCCAGCTAGATCTGGTCAAGTCACAACTGAGACTATCTCTTCATACACTTCCGTGTATCCAATCACTGTTTCTAGCACCGCTATCAATGTACCTACCTATGGAGCTTCTTCTGCTGCTGGAATCGAAACTTCAGTACCAGCCGTCAAGATTTCATCCACCGCTGTCATTTTCACTTCGGCCCCTTCAGTTAAAACTTCATCCCTTGCCGGCGTATCATCAGCAATTCCAACCAAGGGAGCTTCCTCCGCCGCTGGCATCGAAACCTCAGTCCCAACCATCGAAGCATCCTCACCCGCAGCTACTCCCGAAGCCGCATCCCCAACAAGCCTCTACACAACCCTAATCTCCACCCTTGTCAATTCCCAAACCACCACCATCTCCGCCATCATCGCTCCTTCAGTCATCACCGTCATCCCCGTTGCAATCGCATCCCCATCTCCCGCCACCAGCATCGCACCACCATACAGCGTGGCGCCACCGTATGGTGCTGGAAACGGCACCTTGGTCGCTACTGGTACCGCATCGTCGATCACCAGAGTGCCAAAACCAACTTCGTATGTGGGTAAAGCGGAGAGCGATAGCACCAGTGTGAAGAGCGGAAGTGTGACGACGCAGACCCCGGGGGCGAGTCCAAGCGCGGTTACTTTTGAGGGAGGGGCGGAGAAATTGCTCAAGGGAGTGGGTGTGTGGGTTGCTGTGGGTATGACGGGTTTGGTGCTTTTGATTTAGGGTTTAGAACTTTAGATGGTTTGTTATGATGAGGGGTTTATGTGTATGTATGTGTGTGTATGTAAGATAGGATAGTTTTCTTGGAGAGGGAGCGGGTGGATGTATTTATGATGAAAAAATCAATTTATCGATTATTCTTTTGTATGTATTTTTATTTTTAAAGTGTTAGTTATGATATATGATGGGTCATTATGTCATCTGTATGTCTTGTGTGTATTGACTACGGGTTTCTTACATTTATATGTTGTGAATTTTCAGTATATGATATTTTGTTCCGATAAATATCACTTCGTAATGAAAAAAGAGAAGGGGAAATTGTTGATTCATTTTGATGGAGTTTGCATTCCGTGGAAGAGGTTTCGTGAAGAATATATTAGGGGTTTATTCATATTGTATTGATCTGTGTGCTAGATAACTTCCTGAAAGTTGATTAATTAGTCAGACTGAAGGCGGTAGAAAAATCTCGGAGCTGCTGGAGTATATTTTAGAATTGTTGGGTTACTTTGAAAGGGAATGAAAGGAGAATCTTTGGATGAATTTAGGTTGGGAAGCATGGGGTTGAGATAATGGAGATGGGGGATGGGGAACAGGAGAGGAAGAGAAGGTAATGGGTTGAGAGTAATTGAATTGAAATGAAGGGAAAGGAGAAGGAGTGAGAATGAATAATGAATAATGGAGAGTTTTGATGGATGGTGGATGGAGCAGGGCCATCGAAATGGAAATCGAAATGAAAAATATACTGCGGATTAAAACCCAGCATATAACGTCTGTGAAGGTTTCGGTTTGATAGACGAGGTAAGCATTAGTCTTGACGTTTTTTTTGGTACATGGGAGAAGATATACGGGTGTTTCGAGATGTATTTTGGGGACATCCATCAGGAAGATATGGATAGGACGGCTAGGCTGAAAAGTAGGAACTCATATGTATGATGGAAGTGGCAAAATGTTAGCATAGAAAAGTATCAATAGAAGAATCTTCTGTGAAATTGTTCAAATGGTATATCTTGAAAGTCTTGTATACATTGTGACAATGGGAGGTTTGGATAGAAAATTCAGTACTATATTATTGGAGTTGTGTGGGCTTCTGGGCAATAAGCGACTAGAACTAGAACATAACTTGGAGAATTTATGCTCGAGGTGTGATTTGTTTATCATTTTAAGATATGATTTTATTAGGTGATGTATTTCTAAGCTAGTATGAATTCTGAGAAGCGACTACTATAAAAGTCGCAACGCAGAATTACTTATACTTAGAAGCTTCCATGACATATCTTAAATGCGTGTTTATATCATCTCATCATTCAATGCGCAATCAATTGACGCTTCTTTTTGGTTCTCTCAAATGAATAGTATGTATTAGTCATTAATTATACTCTGTCATCCATACATAAACCACCGCATTAATCTAGAAGTACTCTACTCCCGCTTCGAATGCTTCCTATGTTTCCTATGCTTTCTATGCTTTCTAGGTGCATTCTCAGGCCGCGCACCCCCCTCGCTTAACAAAACATTCTCACCATTCTTCTCAAACCATTGATCCACAAGATGAGTTGACCATTCCACAGCTCCCGGAACCGGTAGCCGATCATCAAGCTCCATGTAATCAATTTCCGACATATCATCCGTTCCTGACAAAAACTCCGACTCTGTTGAGGATGCTAGGCCCGCCACATGATTTCGTCCCGTCAATAAATCATTCTGGATTCTCGCATTATTCTGAGCTCCTAAATTGCGCTGCGTCTTGGGCTTTCCCTGAAGAGCCACCATCTTCTTCACTGCTTTAGTTTCTCTAGCTTCTCCGGCTCGATTTTCCAACCATGCCCTAATGCTAGAGCTATCATCCGGTCCAATCTTCGTCGTTAAATTATTATATGTTCCAACAGTTCGATAGGCAGGGTGATCAACCTTGCTGACTGCGAGTTTACGGAGCTCGGAATCGAGGTCAGAGATGATGATTTTGATGATCGGTTTCAAAGGACCGATTTCAAGACATTGGATATTCTTCTTGATGGAGTGGATACGTGCTTCGCGGCGAAGAAAAGAGTCTCCGAGTTCGGGTTCGATGCGCTCGTGTAATTTGGTGAGGATGATTTTGATGGGTTTGAGAAGGATGGAGTCGATTGACTGGATGGCTTCGATCTTCTGGCAGATGTTGCACATCTTGTGAAGGGCTTCGTGGTTAGAAGATGGATTGTAGAAGTAAGTGATTTATCTCTGCAAGAGATGGAAGTCGGTTTTTATGTGTGAGGTTTGCTCGAGGTGTGAATAATGAGTGGAAACCTTTACTCAGTAATCGAGTGTTGGAGAAGGTTCACTGTTTGTTGTTGTGATTGGATTTTAGAAATGAACGAGTTCAGAAGTTATTGCATTGACTGGAACTTGAGGAGGTTATAACTCAAAATATGTACAGCCAACCACAAGTGCTACATTACTAGATGCACAATACGGGAATGACGGTTTGGCGTATTGAAAGTAAAGCAGTATGTGTTGGTGATCATCTTAGATTTACGGTTTGTATCCAGATGTGAATAAGAAGGTACGGTTAATTTATCGGATAAAAAAGGGGGAGTTGGCTATGAGTGAATCAGCAACAGCCAGGCATTATGATTTTATGTGCTCAAAAGAGTTACAGTAATCTACACAGTAATGATTGAAATTAATTGAATGATAGAAAATTCAATGTACGTTCACTATCCATGAAAAGGCAATGTATAAACCCAAACCAAACTCTCAAAAACCGCATGATGCGGCTACACACCCGCTCATCTTCATCCAAATCTCTATCATCTTCGGTCCATTTATCCCTTCACCACCGTACAGATTATCATCAACATAACCCAACATGCCGTCGCCTAAAGAAAAATAAACCAAAAACTCAAAGTTCTCATACTCAACGGTCTGAGTATTCGCTTCGAGGTTCCAATATGCTAACATCAACCTATAGACAAACACTTATTCAATGGCATCAACGCCATGTGTCTTATTCACTTATCCTCAGGTATTCTCGTCAGCCACGGTATTCACGGTATTCACGGCATCAATCCACACCTCCAACATCTTATTCATCGGTAATCGCCCTCCTCATCTTATCCGACGGTACACCTCAAATCTCAAAAATCCACTTCTCACATCTGGTACAACAAGTCCCGGGCCCGGGCATTCTGGTATATCCTCCATACGGTGTAAGTACAAATCCCTCCATCCAAAATTAACAGATAACAGACTTGCGAGCTATGAGAACTGAGTAACTTTTTTGCTCTTTTTTTGCTGGTTTTTTGCTAAAAAAAATTCTTATGATCATTTTATGATCTGTTTGGACGGTGTGATGGTTCGATGTCAAAAGATGATTCGTATGGAAGCGACCATTGTGAATTTTATAATTGAGACAGTGAAAGTGAAAGTAGAAGTGAAAATGCGCTTCTCCATCATGTAGATGTGTTGAACTGAAGACATCGAGAAACTCATTATTCATGAAATTGAAACTTCCCACGTTTAGATATTTGAGTAACCCTAGACAACATCTCGATTAAAGAATTGACATTTCTTTTGACCGTCGCGCAAATCCAGATGATCTCATCGCTGGACTGAAATGAACTTTTCTTCATCTCAAGTTACAGCGCATGAATTGACCGATCGACAAACTCAAGAAGATGAAGAAGAATGCATAAGTTACCTCTACTCAGAAGTGTTCAAGAATTCAGGGTTCCTATTACTCCCAGTCACATAAACATTGTCATTGCTCCCATAATAGATCCAGGATCATCATCTCCGAATCAAATCCCACCACCCACCTCCCCCTCACCCCCCCCACCCACCGTCCCTTCCCAATTACCCGCACACAACATCTACACACCACCCTCAATATCTTCAACCAAAAAAAAAAAAAATTAAACAAAAGTCCTCACTTCAGTCTCGCACCACAGTCAACCCATCAACATCCGACTTCGGAATTTCTTCAAAGTTGCTAACAGAATCCTAGATCAACATCTACCTATATCCGCCCACTTAAGAGTTGTAGTCTGATAGCTGATGAGAAAAAGACTCGAGCATTTGATGAGGTCTAGTTTGATGGTTTGAGCAAATGAAGGGTATGAGAGGCGTGTGATGATATGTGCGCGGAAGGAGAGGTGTTCTGAGTATGAAGGCTCATGAAATATGGGAGTTGAAAGGGTTCAAATTAGAATTGCTTTCTATAATATTGAAAGTGTTCGGTTTAAATAGAGATGTGGTGCGAAAGTTTATGAATTGGTCACACTATTTGATGTCGACCACTTTTGGCAGGGTTGAGTACATGACTATAATTAACGCAACCCAATAAAAATGGAACGTGATGCAATCACTTCATCAACTTATCAACCCTCTTCTCCAGACTCCTCTCAAACTCACTCACACCCCCCTCCAATACCTTGACTCCACCACCCTTAACAACATAAACCAATCTCCTCCTCTGTTCCTCATCTTCCTCATCCTCCCCATCTTCCTCCTCCTCTCCCTCCCCCTCCCCCTCCTTCCACCCCTCCACCACTTTCCTAACCAACCACCGATCATGACTAACCACCACAACACCTCCATTCCACCCCCTCATCACCTCCCCCACCGCTCTCACCGTCCAAAAATCCAAATGCGTCGTCACCTCATCCAAAACCAACAATTGCGGTTCCTTCCACACCAACCTCGCCAACGCCAACCGCACAAGCTGACCACCAGATAACTTACCAATCGGAACATCCGAGACGATTCGTCCCTGCAAACCCAATCCATTGAGTATACCACGAATTTCCTGCTCCGAGAGCACACCAGCGACATCGGATGTTAGGAGCGAGAGAGCCGTCAGCTCTGGAGTGCCATGCGAGAGAATTTGCAGATCTTCGACAGAGTTTTGAGAGTAGTATGCGAGTCGTAAGCGAGGATGTTTGGTGAGGATTCCCTTGGTGGGTTTGGCGGTTTCGGTGAGGAGGGAGAGAAGGGTGGATTTTCCGGCGCCGTTGAGGCCCACGATTCCAATGCGATCACCCATGTGGATGGTGAGATTGACGTTTTCTAAAACGAATGGCGCGGGTGCCGTGGTGTTTTTTGGAGATCCGGAAGTTGGGTAGCGGAATGAGATGTTTTCTAATGAGAGCAATGGGCCGGGAAATCGTAAATCGGGTGCTAGAGGGATCATCATCGAGATGCCTCTTTCCTCGGGTGGAATCTCGATTTCTTCTCTGGCTGTTAAATGATAGCCAACTAGGTCGCGGTTGAGTTTGAATCGAGTTCCTTTGGCGGATACTTCCATGCCCATTCGATTATCTAATTTCTTCTGACGAGATTTAGCTTGGCGGAGTTTATTCTCATCGCCGGTTGCTTTTCCTTGTTTGATGTTTTGCTGAATGGTTTGCTGGATGTGTGATTTTTGCTTTTCTTGAGCGTCGCGCATTTTTGTTAGATAAAGAGTTTTCTCGCGGATGGTGGATTCATATGTAGCCAAGGATCCACGGAAATAAGTCAGAGCCTGGCTGCGCAGAATGATAAGTTCTTGAGATGTGGCAGTGATGAAATCACGATCGTGAGAGACGATTACAATGGTTGGAGGAGTGGGGGTAGATTCCTTGAGGGTTTCGAGATATTTTTGTAACCAGATGATTCCGAGGAGATCGAGGAAATTGGTAGGCTCGTCAAGGATTAGAATGTCTGTTGGTTGGAGAAGAATAGAAGCGAGATTTGTACGCATTTTCCATCCTCCGGATAGGGTGTTGACTGGTTTATCCAGGTTTGCTTTGGGAAATCCTAGACCAGAGAGGATATTTCGTGCTTTTGATTCGATATCGGCTAGTCTGGCGGGCTCTAGCTGTAGTTGCAACTCTGCAAGGAGTTCTGCTGCTAGATCCGTCTCTTCTTTAATCGTGGTTTCATCAATCTCCTCATCTTTTTGTTTGATTCTATATCATGATTTAGAAGTTGGACGCCGATTTGGTTCATGCCCACTTACCGTTCCTCGGAATTCGCAACAATTTTTTCAAAAGCAATCAATGCTTTTCTTGCTGCCATACCACGTGTTCCACTTCTGAGTCTGGCATCCTTATCTTTCTCGAATAATTCCCTTTTCAGCCTTTCATGCTGTATCTTCCGAAATGCCCGTACAGGTGTCAATGCATCTTCTTGACTATCCACAGCCTTGGACAATACTAAGGGATTTCGTCAATGTCAATATAGGTCATGCACATACAACTATTGGATTGTCAAGACGTACCGTCAACTTCATGTTGAATTTCACTTCTTGAAGTAGCTCTATCAACAACCTCTGCCAATACTGACAAATTACTTCCCCCATTTTCTTCAGATTCACTACCTCCTTCATCACCGGCATCTTTTGAATCTGCATCTATTTGCTGCAAGATGGATATCCTAGTCTGTACAGGAATACCAGGGATCAATTTCTCCGCAATGGCCTTCAACAAAGCTTCATGTGGCACCAATTATTAGGAATTTCATTTCCCTTAGCTCAAATTGGAAAAGGGGGAACATACTCGATTTTCCTGTGCCGTTTCTTCCAATCAATGCATAGCATATTCCAGCTTTGAGTTTCAAACTCGCATTGGATAGAATCTCAAGACCTTCTGCTTTAGATTTCCCCTTTGACTTCACACCTGATTTACCCGAAGATGTAACCGTGATATTTAAACCTTCAATATCGAGCTACGATATATATTGATCAGAATTCATCTTCAGCTGGAATGCTCTTCAGAAATCGCTAAGAGAATGGACGTATTTACCTCCTGATAAACTGGATTCTCGATGTGAAATCTCGTTTGTTTACACGAACACAAGATGGTGGTTGCTGATTCTCCTTGAGACAACATTTTTCCTTCTTACCTCAATAATTCGGATGGACAATCGAATTTAAAGAAGTTAATCAAAAAAATTTGAATCAAAACAAAGGAATGAAAATAACTGTTAAAATTATCAAAGTACTAAACCTGATTTTAACGGCATTAAATTCAATCGAGGATGCTGTCGTTAAATAGTTGATATGCATGAATACGGTTTAGAAAGTACCAAGACCCAACAGACCCCCCTCAAGCTTTGGTTGCCGCTTTCCGATGTTGATCTTTTCGGCCTGACTCACATGTTTCGGATTCAGACAACTTCTCGTGTAACTTCAACACACAACATGAAAGGAAAGGTTACGCATTCAAGTTGAATCAGAGCATCAGAAATTTAATAGTAATAAGTGAGTCACATCCTCAGCGCCGTCACATTGATAGATTTGCGCAGGTGGATGAATGAGTGAAGAGAATAAATAGCTGTTTCGGTTAACCTAAGGTTATCGTCTAGTCTAGCTGGAGTCCACGGGTGCTACTTCAACTGCGCCACTCCTAGTTCTATGGCTGAGCTCCACATACAACCACGTGATACTACCTTTTGCACCTGACTTCTCGAACCTATCGCTCTCATATCCAACATCTTTACATGGAAATACTAGCCATTGTAATTCTTCAAAAATAGTACCCGTGAAACGATAATCATTACCCAAGCATCAAGATGTCCACCGAAACCCCCAATCCCCTCTACGTCCCTGAAACCCTCACCAAGATCCTCTCCCATCTCGACATCAAGACTCTCCTCCTCTCTCAACGCGTTTCCAGACAATGGGCCGAATTAATCCAAACATCTCCCCATCTCCAAGAATGTCTTTTCTTCAAGAACGCCACTCGGAATACAGAGGTTACGCTTAATCCGCTATTGGCCGAGAAGTTCCCAGCTTGGTTTAATACGATTGAAGAAGAACCATCGAATCAAGTGGGACATCAAGTTTTCAACAAGCTGGAATGGGCTTCTTCACCGGACGTCGCGATGGCTTATCAGAGATCTGATGCTAGCTGGCGGAGAATGCTACTGCGTCAGCCCCCACTTGAAGAAATGTTGATTGATTACACCAGGATTGATAAGCAGGGGCTTTTTTTCTGGGACGTGAAGGTTGCGAAAAAGGAGGGCATCAGAATGGGCTTGGCGTATGATTACATGTACCAGGCTATGTATAAATGCGTATTCGCCGGTGTGGATCGACCTATTTACAATCATGAATTTATGTTTGATTGGAGAGAGGAAAAAGTTGCAGCGGGAACGTCGAAAGAGCGTTGCTCGAGAATTAAAGTATGGGTGAAGCAGGGGTGTAGTTTTTGTGGGGAAGGTTGTGAAGGATGTAGAGATGTCAATGGCCATCACAGAATATTCAAAAGCGAGGGATTTGAGAAGGAAGCGGCAAATGAAGATGCATATTTGAAGATGATGCAGGATGAAGGTTTCGAAACTTGGTGAAGTACGGAGTAATAGGAAGTAGGACTAGATTTCTCAAGTCATCTGGTCATTCGTGGTATGGACTTGATTGGATAGTTGAGTATTCTTAATGAGAGAATATATGAATAATGAAATATCACTCCCAGTGACGAATCCAACCAACCAGAATACACTCGCCGAATTTATTGTAGTAACCGATACTTACTAGATCACGGATGAAGAATAGCATTCTCGGAGCTCTTTTTATCTGCATGGAATGGGATAGACATGAAGAATCCAGAGTATGAGGGAGAGAATAGAATGCAACCGCACCATAAGAGATTGTGTGAGAGATGTAGGAAAGGAAGGTATGATAACAGCGTGCTTTGAATGGGGGAGGGAGTATACAAAAAGGCAAATTTGATGAAGATCATGTATTATAGGTGCATGACTCCAACGATACATGAAATTAGAAGTTCGATCGCCAGGATGAGGATACAGATGCGAGGTGGATATTGGGATGTAAATGGTAATATATGATCAAGGAAATGAATGTTTGTGTTTTGCCCACAGCTCAGAATTGAGGTATCCCGACAACCGTTTAGAATCGAAAGATATTATCCGAATCATACCCGCGTATACCCTAAAAGTTTGATGTGCGTATTCGAACGCCCAGTCACACCAGCACTCGCTGCTACTTCCGCCTTGATGGCCTCGTTTTGACACTATTTGATGGGTTGTAAACTCATACTTCACCACAGAGGCACCAAATCATCCGGCCATTATGATATCAGCAGTAATAAAGTACATGTATTCTAATTTTACTATCCGTACTTCTACAAACAGTCAAAATTAATGACTGACCGATCTTGCCACCAACATGTGGCTATCGTCTTTTCTCACCACCTTTGAACTTCATGTACAAATCAATTATAGGAAAGAATTTTGTTATTTCTCTATTCAACTCTCAAACTTTGTAATCTTGCTTCGGTTGCAATAACCTGGAAATTGTTAGTAATTGAAGTGTCAAGTGAGAGTGAAGGATGAATTGAAAGTAGAACTTACGTCAAGAGCCTGCTGAACCTCGAGGACCTTTCTAACCTCACCCAACCAATCCTTACTCAAAGTTTTTGCCCACCCCTTTAGTCCGTTCATCTCTCTAGCTGCACCATCCAAATCGCCCTCCTCGAGGAATGTCTCCGTTCTGGTCAAAATGCTTTCAACATCATCACCAGTAGCCAAACCCTTCTTCTTGAACAGAAGCTTGCTTAGAACGTAACTTGAAGCATGACTAGCGACACCAGCCTCTTCAGGTAACAACGAAGCTTTGCGGACTTCAGATGCGACACGACGGAAACGGTCGATGAGGGCAGCTGAGCTTGGAACACCCTTTTGATAAGCGACTGGGTTGATGGATGCAATGGCTGCGTTGACAACTGGATCATCAGATGCAATTTCCTTAAGGGCAGCAAGTTCTCTGGTGAAAGGGCGTGGAATTTGAGACTTTTCGAGGTTAGCACGAACGGCTTCAACTGCAACATGAAGATGTTGAGTCTTGAGGTTTGCGTCGACAACAGAATTGAAGTCACCAGTAAGCTTCTCGAGATCATTGACAGTATTAGTCAACTCGGAAAGCTTGCCGAGGCGGCCTTCGCGTTCTTCCTCCACGCGATTTCTGACATCAGCCAAGAATGCACGCTTGAGTTCAACTGCTTGCTCTGTCAAAAGATTCTTGAGCTTTTGCTCATTGACCTCATTTGCGCGATCGAGCTCAGACTTAAGCTTTTTCTCGTAGTTCTCGTGAATTCTCTTGCGCTCAGCTTCGTACTCGGCCCTGTATTGAATTTCCTGCTCTGCTTGTTGGTTCTTGAAGTTTTGCATGAGTTGCATAGCAGCACGGTCGAATTCTCCATCGTGAGACTTAATCTTCTCGTCAGCTTCCTTCAATGCTGCCTCCTTCATAGCCAAGATCTTGCCTCCAACTCTGTTCAATTCTGACTTGGCCTTGTCCATAGTAGATGTAAATCTAGCATTTGCATTGTCGGCATTAACGACTGCAATGATGTCATTCATAATCTTAACCAATTCTTGAACTACAGGCTCATTTCCATTAGGGATATTGATTGGGTCAATTCGCTCAATTTTCTTGTATGCTCTAGATGGCTCATTGACTTCTGGGTCCCTTTCAACATTGCTTGACTTGACTTCTGAAGTGGCGGGCGCAGCAGCTGGAGCTGGAGAGTTCTTTACTGGTGTATTTCCACTCTTAACTTGCTCAACAGCCTTGACTCTATCGGCTGGTTTTGAGTCGTGTGGTGTCTGAACAGCTTCCGATGGCTTCGCCTTGTCCTTCGCGGAGCTAGTGTGTCGTCCAGTAGATTCCTTGTTCTCATTGGCAACCCTCCATGATACACCACTTTGACTTGGGATTTTTACCTGTTCGCCAGTATCTCTTGGAGGCCTTGGAGCTCGGTTTGCGATCAAAGGGAAACGCTTTCTGAATTCTTGTTCCTCGAAGTAAAGGACCGCTTCCTCCCCGAAAGGTACATATTCGGTAAAGAAGTCATGGAAGTTATCGTTGATCCGAGAATAGTAAACTCCTCCACCGAAGCCTAGTGTTGTTAATAAAAATAATGTTGTGAAGAACTTGCGGAAGAAGCGTCTCTTTGGCTTTGGTGCGGGAGGGGGTGGGATGGAAGATGGAGGTGGAGGCCCTGGTGACTTAACTCCTGGAGGAGGGGGAGTAAGAGGAACGTTTTCCGCAGGAATTGTGGTAGAGGTTGGAGTTGCTGGTGTTGGGGCGGTATTTGGTGTTACTATTGCTCCAGGTGGTAACGGTTCAGATGTAGCCGCGCTGGCAGATCCTGGAAGTACTGGAGGTCTCGAGTCTGCTATACTTGGTTTATCGGCATAACTTCTCTAGAGTTGCAAAAACTATCAGCAATCATATCACTACTTAATTGTTCGAGATAGAACATCTTGAAGCTTCATACCATAGTATCCGAAATCACCCGGCTATTTTGTGCTCTCCATTGACGTCCAGGACTGACGACGTTGGATCTGAGACCCAACGTCCTCGAAGATCGAAGACCAACTCGCAGCATGACGGGCTGCGTGGAGCGATAAGTTATTTTTGAGGTTGGTGATGTTAAAACTGCGCGTCCTCTTCTGCCAAATACACAATTCAAGATAAAAACACTTTCAAGTTTACAGAAGCTCGGACCACACCACTTTTTGGCTGATGATGTAGAAAATCCCAGGGTCGGTATTCACATTAGCCAAATGTGCAAGGCTACGAAATATTGTCAAAATTTTGATTTATATTTATTATTGAAACAATTCCTATGGTGATCATTCTCTACGCACAGATTCTTGTGCAATAAAAGATAATTGTTTTAAATGCATGTTCTATTGCATATCGTACATCCCAAATGCCGAAGAACTAATTCATCAAAAAGGAAAAAAACAAGGAAAACCCTCACGCCTGGCAAGCAGAAATCTGCTGCATATCAAACCCCTTCCTACGAGAATTTAGAGACATCAAGGTATTAAAAAAACGATTGCTCTCGTAAATGTTGAAGTGGCCACATGTATGCTGCTGCCCTCAACCAAGCAATCTTGTTCGAAAAGGAACACTATTTGTGGAAAGTCCCGACAATAGCTCATTCTTGGTATCAAAGGTTCATTCCACCCAATATGTCCCATACTCCACCGCATATTCATCACAAAGTTTCTCTAACAAGCACATCCTGGACCTGCTTGTGTTCCTGGAGCTTCGGGCCTAAGATCAACACCAGTTCCCCTTGGACCACCAGCTCTTGGATTTCTTGGACCGGCTTGATCCAATGGTAGTTTCTTTGCAATTGCTGTGAACAATTCCCTTACGTTCTCAGATGTCTTAGCAGAAGTTTCGAAGAATAGTAAACCGGCTTCTCTAGCATAATTCGAAGCGTCTTCAGTAGTAATAGCACGTTTATCCGGTTGTTCCGTAACTAAATCGAGCTTGTTTCCGGCTAAAGCAATGATGATATTCTCGTTTGCTTGTCGTTGAAGTTCTTTTACCCAAGATTTGGCCTTATCCAATGAGGCCTATCACACATGTTAGCGAAGTACTTTCCAATTTAGAGTCGGAGGAGCGTACAGCTTGTGTGATGTCATAAACAACAACAGCACAGTTGGCATTTCGATAATACATGGGCGCTAGCGACTTGTATCTCTCTTGTCCTGCGGTGTCCCATATTTCGAATTTGACTGTGGTGTTTTCGTCGAGGGAGATGGTTTGAGTTAAAAATGCAGCGCCAATAGTACTCTCGCGGTCTGTCGTATGGTCAGCGGTGTGGTCTTTGTTCATCCGATATCCCCTGTTTGAATCGTATCCAGGCTTTTCATATAAGAACGAGATTTGTTGGAAGGCTACTCACAATCGTCGAATTGATCCTGGTTTAAAATGTCAGCTTGAAATCATGTCATTGCTTGGAGATGATCAGAAATACCTTAACAAATCGTAAAACCAATGAACTCTGTGCCGAATATTAGCATTTAGAACAAATCCAACTGGCAAACGGTAGCTCATACCTTTCCGACGGCAGATTCCCCTATCATGAAAGATTAGCAACTGATTTAACGAAGATGTCAGAAACTCATGGGAATAGCCTACCAAGTAACACCAATTTAAACTGCGCAAATCGTGAGTTTCCAGCACGGGAGCCTGGTGGACCTCGAGCAGCCATGTTGAAATGTGAATGTGGTTGTGATTGTGAATGGGATTTAATGGAATGGGACAGATCGCTGGGCAAGCTGTATATGCTCGTGTAGTACTTGGGCGGCTTTAATTCGTAGGAGGAAGGCGGAAATGGTTGAGGTAAAGTTAAATGCTATCTTGCTTGATCTTGAGAAACAGCGCAACCTGGAAAGTGACGACGATCCTAAATCGCTTCGATTACTGGGACAATCATGATCACGTGGAGCATTGTGTAGATGCGCTTTGAACGTCAGCCTATCAAAAGGTCATCATCAAATGCTAGATTCACCCCCGAATCTGA